GAGTTTTGCAACAAGGCAAGCAGCGGGCAACACAGCTTGACCCAGGCTAATGATGCATAGGCACTCCAACTTGCTACTGTAATCCCTATTCTGTGAAAAATCTGCTGTTTGAAATTTTAACCCTGCTATTTTGGCTTCTGTAAATGTTTGCTTGCTTAAATAATAGGGAAAATAAGTTCAACTATCTGACCTTGCAAGCTGCTCTGTTGCCACTTCTAGCTACTCCCATACCAGGTATTTGTTAGTTGTCTGGAATGTACTGTGCTCAAGGTTACAAGCTGCCTGCAAAAATAACTTACATAGAGTTCTTTGTAAAGTCTGCAAAAGGTCCGCAAAATCCCTTATTTGGGAGACAAAGGGCTGGAAAGATATAAAAGGGGAAGGCTTCCTCCATGTTTTTGCTCAGATTCGAGAGGTTACTCCTCCAAGACCACTAGCATAATAAAGGCTCCAAAATTTGGCTCACTGATTAAGGCATCCTCTGTCTAGCTTGCTGATTTACAATATAACACTAATCCCCTGAAATGGGCTCTAAGGCCCCCATTTTCTAGACTCTCTCCTCTTGCTTCTCCTACCTTAAGCTCTCTCTTTGTTTCACAGCTTTAATAAACATACTCTCAAAAACCACCTGGACTGGTGTGAAATCTTTCCTACACAGTCGAGAACCCACACGCTAAAGGGAGGGGCACTAAGGCAGACGTACCCTGACCTCAGAACCCATCTGGTAACATTCTGAATCCAATCAGAACAAAGGAGTTCACTGTCTCTAAAAATAAATGATGGTATTTAACAAAATTAAAAAGATCAGGGCTATGTCCTGCATTTAGACTGCCAGACTTCAAATGGATACTCACATCATTTCCTAATGGTAAGTTGTAGAATCAGGGATCAATCACATGTAAATGCTTTCAGTAATGCCTGCAAATCAATTCATTTATTTTTTTAAAATATATTTTATTGATTTTTTATAGAGAGGAAAGGAGAGGGATAAAGAGTTAGAAACATCTATGAGAAAGAAACACTGATCAGCTGCCTCCTGCACACCCCCTACTGGGGATGTGCCCGAAAACAAACACGCCCTTGACCGGAATCGAACCTTGGACCCTTCAGTCCGCAGGCCAAAGCTTTATCCACTGAGCCAAACTGGTTAGGGCTCATTTTTTAAATCAGGACCATATTGTATTATGGTTATCATAAGTAGCTGCCAAAATTAAGATTACTTATGAACAAAACAGATATTTAGAAAATTGAAGACTTCCTAACTCAGGAAGGGAAGTAGAGAAAGCCAGCAGTAGTGCCTGGCAGTGGGGCAGAACCTCAGCTCCGACTCTCCTCCCCTGGCAGCTCTGAACTGCAGAACCAAGGCCACTTAGTACTCAAGACAGTGCCTGGGTGCCCTCCCCAGCGACCCTCTCTCTGGGCTCCCCAGACCAGCACCTGCCGCCAACCTCTGCCTGAGCTCCTCTAGCACTCAAATGTGGGCACAGAGGACCTGAGGTAGTGCACACAATTGTGGAAAAGGGGAGTGTCACTTCAAAGCTCCTTGCTAAAGAACATAAAGGCCATGGCAGCAACATCAGAACGTTGTTTAGCTGAACTCTCAAAAACACTTATGTCATATTCATTGTGACTATCATAATGTCCCCCTAGATACAAGAACAAGAAAAACATATCAACAATGGAGAAATGTGTTCACATTATTTAAAGTTTAAGGCCACTTGGAAAAGGGTTTGCTAGTGACATACCTACACTGCATTACCAACTCCAATACTGTTACCTACAACTTTGAAGGTTGAACACATGAACACATCCACACTCACTCAGCTTTATTAATTAAAATAGCCCGGCCAGCATGGCTCACAGGTTAGGTGTTGACCTTGCGGTTCCATTCCCCAACAGGGCACATGCCCGGGTTGTGGGCTCAATCCCAAGTGTGGGGCATGCAGGATGCAGCCAATCAATAAATCTCTCCCCTTATTGATGTTTTGATCTCTTAGTCCCTCTCCCTTTCTCTCTGAAATCAATAAAAATATACTTAAGCCCTAGCCGGTCTGGCTCAGTGGATAGAGTGTCGGCCTGCGAAATGAAAGGTCCCAGATTCGATTCCAGTCAAGGGCACATGCCCAGGTTGTGAACTCGATCCCCAGTGGGAGACTTGCAGGAGGCAGCCGATCCATGATTCTTTCTCATCGTGGGTATTTCTATCTCTCTCTTCCTCTTCATTCCTCTCTGAAATCAATAAAAATATATTAAAAAATATATATTTAAAAAAAAAAACAAAAATAGTAAGTTCACCCATACTCTAAATAAAGTATGAAAACCAACACTGTAAGTGCAACCATTTGTCAAAATGCACAATCCAAACATTTAAGATATATTACTAATATTCTGAAGCTGGAGGCTAAAGCAAACAGTACTTAGCATAAAAGTGCAAAAGAGACATTGGAAGGTGAATGAACTTTGATATTTAGCAGGGCTGAATATCAGCACAAGTTTGCCCTCCTGTGATTGCAATGGCTCGAGGCAATTTCCTGATCTGATAATCTTTACATTGTATACCAAACTTTACCTTTGATTTGCCTGTATGCATTGCTAAACGGCAAATGTGTATTCAAAGTCGGTAGGACCCAATCTCAGAGTTCTTCACGAAAGAGGTTCCACCTGGCCCTCCAAATGCCTTCTAAATTTATATTTTTTGTATAGTGTATTTATTGTGTTGTCTGCCCTCCTTCAAGTCATCTTGAACTCGCCAGGAAGGTTATGACATTCTGATGTTATAACTGTGCTTCATCTGGTCTTTGAATGGAGGCTAATCATTTAGAAAACATGAACATACAATAATTTTATGTGCTTAGGGATGAGTTGTCTTATATTTTCTCAGATATGCCTGATATCTTCTTTATTTCACCATATCAACCAATGTTCATCACTTCTACCTATGGCTACTATGAAGATACATCAGGATTTTAATGAACTGCCACCATATTTTCCTGTAAGTGTAATTGGCAAATTTAGTCAAAATTTATAATGCCCTTCGTGATCACATAAAACAACATTCTAAGTCAACCACCATCTCCATTTAGATGGTCTTCAAGCAGTGTGCCTTACAATAAATGCAATATTCCATGGAAAAGTATATGTCAGTGAAATGCACTCAATATACAAGAGTTCACAGGTCTTTAAGGCAGTAACAACCCCATGATTTCATACATACACCAGGAATAAAACATGGTAGCATCAGTGATATAGGAGCAGAATCACATTAATATTTCCTTTTCCATATGTCTCAAATAATGTCAATAAATATAGACAATACTAAGTAATTATACTTATGGAAACGTTGCTTCTTTTAATATATTCAAGCATATTAAAAGTTACTTATGTTCATTTAAACAGTGAATTATTCTCTATGAGTATTCTCATTTAGCATTATACCTAAAAAGTATTGACTATTCATCTAGTGTGAATCCTGTGATATTTTAAAATTTAATTTCAAATATATGCTTTGGAAAATTTTTTAGGCTTTTGAGAAGCATATCTTTTTAACAAAAGTCTTTCCTCCTATATCATGAACATAGAATTAAGTCCAAATTGCAATCCTTCATATTGACTGAGACTGCAGGTCCAGCTACAGGATTTCCCACATTCTTTGGTTTTAGGGTTTCCCTCTGCTAGGAATTTCAATGTGAGGAATAAATTATGAATGTGGAATAATGACTTTTGGACATTGTTTACATTTTCATTGTTTCTCCTGAGTATGAATTCTGATCTCAAATACGGTTCACGTACCGAGTGAAACTTTGTTTTGCCACATTCTTTATATTTCCTGGGCTTCACTCCAGCAATAATAGATGTTGAATAACATATAAATGAGGATATAAACTTTGGCACATGTGTTACAATTTATAAAGCTTAATTTGATCATGCTCAATGAAACTGGATCATTGGTTAAATCTTTGGGCAAATTATTTATATTTTTATTGTTTCTATTTAGAATCATGCACTCCAATTACAAGTATGTTTGACTACAGGTTAAAAGCTTTGCCACATTCTCCTTTGGTAATGTTTCACTCCATAATATATTTTTGTTGAGTGAGACACCACTCCTGATTAAAGGCTTTGACAAACTCACTATATTTTTAGGTTTTCTCTCCAGTACAAGTTGTATTGTGTTGAGAAAGACACCAATGGTCATTTTAAAATGTGCCTAATTATTCACATTTGTAAGGCTTCTCTTCACAATGAATTATCTGATGTTCAATAAGATCACACTGACAAGGAAAAGATTTGCCTCACTCCTTACATCTGTAAAGTTTCTCTCCACTATAAAGTCTCTCATGTACAGTAAATCACGAATATCTTTAAAGGCTTTTCCACATTTTTCACATTCATCAGGCTTCATCACAGTATGAATTCTATGGCGCTGAGTAAGTTCTCACTGCTGGTAAAGTAATAATGGCACTCCTTGTAACTGTAAGGAGTTATGAACTCTTTGCTGTACAATAGGGCAGGAACACTGGTTAAAGGCTTTGCCACATTCTCTACATTTATCAAGTTTCTCTCCAGTATGAACTCTCTGATGATTACTAAGGTTTGAGGACTTACTAAAGGCTTTGCCACACTGTCTACATTCATAAGGCTTCTCTCCAGTATGAACTCTCTGATGTACAGTAAGGGCTGAGGACCTGCTGAAAGCTTTGCCACATTCTCTACATTTAAAAGGCTTCTCTCCAGTATGAACTCTCTGATGATAAGTAAGGTCTGTAACCACAATGAAGGCTTTGCCACATTCTCTACATTTAAAAGGCTTCTCTCCAGTATGAAGTTTCTGATGTCGCTTAAGGTTTGAGGAGTTACAGAAGGCCTTGCCACATTCACTACATTTATAAGGCTTCTCTCCAGTGTGACTACTTTGATGAAGAATACATATTGAGGACCTCCTAAAGGCTTTGCCACATTCTCCACATTTATAAGGCTTCTCTCCAGTATGAACTCTCTGATGTACAGTAAGGACTGAGGACCTACTGAATGCTTTGCCACATTCTCCACATTTATAAGGCTTCTCTCCAGTATGAA